CCTCCACCCATGTCAGGCCTGCGGGCAGCCGGCGCTACCTCTGGGGGTGATCTGGGCCTCCCCATCAGGAACTGCCTGCCAGCCTCAGCCTCATTCCTGGCCTTCGGCCCACCCGGCTCAGTCTGGGTGGTGCTGTCGCAGCCTGAAGCCCTTGGCCCCTCCCCCAGGTCCCTGCTCTCTCCTGGAAGCAGCGGGCTGGACTGGCCACTGGGTGGCGTGCGGTCACCAGCATTCCCGCTCCAGGCAGAGGGTGACTCCCTGAAGTCCAGAGCCCTTAATTCATCCTTCCTCCTGACACCAGGGCCTGAGGAGGAAGGGTCCAAGTCAGGATGACGGGCGAAGGTCAGTGAGAAACACTGACTTGAAGCTGTAAATTCATGTTGAGAGCCCAGAGGCCTGAGTGAGCTGACCGAGAGGGAGCATGTCAGAGACCAGATTCTTCCGGCCACTTCTCCCTCGGGGCCAGTGGCCAGCCCTGGAGGTTTGATGGGAATATGTAATGGTTTTCTCAGGGGACCGGGTCCATGGGCAGGTTTTTGTATCGTGATCGTTCTTTGCTCTTTTTCCTCCACAAGTTTCTCAGTGTCTTTGTCCTTTTGACCTGTGTCTTGGTGGTTTTATCTGACCTGCTCCGCTGGCCTTCCTCCCTTCTCCTGCCCCCCGCCCCTGGGTGTGTGTGTGCGCGCCCACGCACGCACACATATCTGTCCTCCTCCCTGGAGTCCTTGTGGTTTTAAAGTGCTGATACTAATCGGATTTCAGTTGACTTATTGTCAGAGTAGCTTTTCATGTTCCTCGGAGACTCTCGGGAGTTACCATCAAGGTCTGGACCTTGGCTACAAGCCCCCGGGCCGCCTTGTCCCCACCAGCGGCCCGCAGAATACAGATGAAAGGCTGTTGGCCGGCCTCGCCCAGCAGTCAGCTGGTCTGTCAGAAGATGACCCGCAGAGAGGATCGCGTGGCCCAGGTTCCCAGCAGCCCTGGGAAGCCACGCAGGTGCTCAGCCTTCCTCCCAGGGGCAGTGTGGGGTCAGGGTCAGCTTTGAGAGAGGGAGGCCTGAGGGCCCAGCCTCACTTGGAGCCTCGGTCCTCTCCCCACCCCTTCCCTCACCTTGCCAGGTGCGCCAGAGCAAAGGTAGTGAGGAACACGCATTTGTGTCTGAGGCAGAATGTTTTCCTGGTGGTTTCGGAGCATTTCAAGAAACTGCCTCGGCTCACTTCTGTGTAGCCCCCTACCCTCTGTGGGAGGGACCTCGGAGCTCCGGGGGAATTGCTTTTCCCTCCCCAGCTTCCCCTTGTGCCTCCCACAGCACTTCCCTGGCCAGCCCTTAGTCCAGAACTTCCTGCATTCCATAAATGACTGGCTCAAGAGGCAGCAGAGAAAGAAAATCCCCTACGGTTTCTTTAAAGCTGCCCTGGACAACAGGAAGGAGGTGAGTCTGGGGGCAACTGAAGTCCTTCTCTGTGTCCTTGGTGACTGGGGGGGTGGAAAGGGTTAACCCTGTAGCCTCTGACCTCCTCTACCCACTTGCATTCAGGGAAGGAGTCCTTGATCTTGGTTGGGCCCTTCCACCAATAATTAATAAACTGCTACTTACTGAGCCGCCTGCATGCACATCTCACCTTATCTTCCCAGCATTAGCGGGAGGTAGCTCTTACCCCCATTTAGCAGATGGAGAAGCTGAGGTTAAGAGAGGTTAAGTAACTTGTCTAAGATCGTAGAGCCAGTAGGTGGTTGGGCCGGGATTTCAGACCGAGTGTGAGCCACCAGTTGTGAGCTAGTTTGTCGCTGGTACTCCCAGCAGCCTGCAGACACACCGGGCCCCTCACACACAGCCGTACAGATGTGTCGGATGCCAAAGCTCCAAGGGACCTCAGAGGCCAAACCCCTCATTTTGCAGATGGGCAAGCTGAGGCTAGAATAAGGATGTGACTTGGTCTGTGTCACAGCTTTTCAGATCTGCCGCTCCTCTGACGGGTGTAGCCGGTGGAAGGGAGATGCCACCTTCCAGGTGATAGACTGAGGAGGGACCTCATTTGTCTCAGGGCTGTGTGCTGACCTTCAAGTCTCCTGGAAGTCTTCTTTCCTCACTGCCCATCCCATTCTTTCTCTTTTCCATATATGCACTCGTGCACGTGTATGTTCCTCAGGGCTCTGTGATTGCCAAGAAGGTGAACTGGGTTGGCTGCCAGGGGAGTGAGCCACATTTCCGGGGCTTCCCCTGTTCCCTGTGGATCCTCTTCCATTTCCTGACAGTGCAAGCAGCTCGACACAATTTCGACCACTCACAAGAGACAGGTGAGCCCGAGGCCTGTGTCCCCGCCCGGCCTGGCCCTGCCCTCCACAGGCTCCCCACCACAGGCCCAGATGTAGCAGATTCTGCATTTGCAGCATGCACCCCACACACAAGCAGAATGGGGAGGACCTGGAGGAGCCACCCAGTCCTGTCCCTGGCCCCAGGTGGTGCCCCGTGCAAGCTCAGGGGCATAAGGTTTCTTTCTAGCTTTCTTGGAGCCACAAGCTTGCTTTGTTTACAGAACTTTGTGAAAAATTTGTGGTTCTATTTTTTATACTTCTATAAAGGAAAGAATTCTGTCTGTTTCAGTCTACGTGGCTGATAGTGTGCACTTTGAACAATTTTATTGTTTCCCATGGAAAAATCATTCTTTTTTTTTTTAGAGAGGGAGTGTGCAAGCTGGGGAGGGGGAGGAGCAGAGGAGAGGGAGAGAGACTCTTAAGCAGACGGAGCCCGATGTGGGGCTCGATCTCACAACCCTGAGATGGTGACCTGAATTGAAATCAAGAGTCGGACGCTCAACCAACTGAGCCACCCAGGCGCCCCTGAAAAATCATTTTCTAAGGGAAGCTGGGGAAACACGTTGCCCCTCCTGCCCTGTTCCCCCCTCAAACTGTGCGGCTGCCCTCCACCACCCACTCTGCCCCCACCCTCGCCTCACGGTCAAAGGGCAGGCGTCCAGTTCAGTCCATGCTGACTGGGGATTATATCAGGCCCCTGCTCAGCCTGGAGGATGCAACGGTGGGAAAGAAAGCAGGGCCAGACAGCTGGGCGGAGGCAGAGGGAATTAGAGGAGCTGCGGGGTGCAGCCAGCCAGCCAGTCTGTCAGCCGGTTTTTATGGAACATCTTCGAAGGGTCGGGCCCTGCTCTGGGAGCGGGTACGGTGGTGCATGAGACCAGAAGCCCCTGCCTCAGGGGACAATATTCCAGGGACGGGAGACAGTAAGCTTACAAGTAGATGTGATGACGAGTGCTCTGAAGAAGACACACTAGGTGGTGCGGAGGCGGGGGGGGGGGGGGGCTCGGGGAGGCCTCTCTGAGGAGGTGGCCCTGCGCTGACCCCTGACTGGTGAGACCGCCGGGGAGAGAGGTTTCCAGGCTGCACTGGCTTTGCTCGGGCTGCCCTAACAAAGTGCTACACACTGGGGCACTTACCCAGCAGAAACTTCTTTTCTCGCAGTTCCTGAGGCTGGAGACCCAAGACCAGAGTGTCGGGAGGGTCGGTGTCTGCTGAGACCTCTCCTTGGCTTGTAGATGACTGTTTTCTTCCTGTGTCTTCATGGGGTCTTCACTGGGTGTGTGCCGTGTCCAGATCTTCTCTTCTTCTATAGCTTGGAGCCCACCTTAGTGACCTCATTTGACCTTAATTACTTCTTTAGACTCTGTCCAGATACAGTCACATTCTGACATGCTCAACATAGTGTGGGGGGACGCGGTGCAGCCCGTCACACAGGCCAAGGACTAGCAGGTGCCGAGAATGAGTCTGGTGTGTGTGCACCCCCAAAAGGAGGCCAGTGGCAGAGCCCAGGGTTGGGGGGGCGGAAGGGGGGGTGCAGGCCTGGGGGTCTCAGCGGGGGAGGGGTTGGGATTTGTGAGTCGGTGTGATGAGACGCTCCTAGAGAGTCTCACAGGGGAGTGTCACCCACGATCGGGGCTTTAGAGAGACTGCTGCTGGGAGGAGGGCGGGCTGCCCCAGGCGTGGTGGAACACTCCGGGAGAGGTGGTGGTGGCCTGACCAGAGCGGTAGGTGGCTTGTGGAAGAAGTGGCCAGACTGGGGAGTATTTTGAAGGTGGTGCTGAGAGGAGTCTGTGGATGAAGAGTACGCGCGGGGGCAGGACCCAGGGTGGACCCCAGAGCTGTTGGGCCTGAGCATCTGGTGGACGGTGGTTCTGTGAGCTGAGAAATGGGAGGGTGTAGACAGTGTGGGACTCCTTGGTGTGTGCCCGCTGGCTGTGCGAATGGAGATGTGGACGGTGAGTCCAGGCCTCGGGGGCGAGGGCCGGGGTGCAGAGCAAAACCTTTGGGCCTTGTGGGCAGTAGCCTGTGGGTGATGTAGGTAAAGCGTCGGGACTGGGCAGCCAGAGGACGGCGCGGAGGCCTGCGCTCGGGGAGCCGGCGAAGGACACGGAGTGGCCGCTGCGATTTCAAGGGCCCGTGTTGGAAGAAAGAGGGTGTCGTCAGCCGAGCGGGGCCACGGTGCTGCGTGGGTGTTGACGGGCGAGCTCTCGGGCAAGCACTGTCGTGGTGGGGCAGTGTGAGAAGGGCCTGGCTAGATGGGGTGAAGAGAAAGTAAGAGGCCGGGAAGGAGAGAGAACGGGGCAGTCCCTGGGGTCCCACAGGGGATGTCTTCATTGCAGTCGTCTTTACCAGTCAGAATGAGCCCCCATCAAGGGGGATATCGATGACATGCTAACAAAAGAACGTATGTACAGCAGTGAAATCCTGTGGAGGCCAGAAGGGGCGAGGGTCCAGAGCACAGGGCAGGAGGGGGGAGGCGAGTACAGCTGTGGGCTGGAGGCAGGAGAGGGCAGCACTGAGGAGGCCCAGGAGGACAGAGGTGAGGCCTGGCCTTCAGGGCTGCTCAAGTTGCCAGGAATGATGGCGTGGGGAGTGGTCGTGAGCAGGACGCAGAGCGGGGTGCAGAAATCCTAGTGGATGGAGGGGTGGGACCGTGAGTTCGGGGGTTGGGGTCTTGCAACAGGACAGTTGGGAAGCAACCCACAGCAGGGAGGGTCCTTCCACTACCCTCAGGCCTGACGTATGGGGAGTGTGGAAGACAAAAGGGTCTAAGGGGGGCATGTTTCAGGGAGCCCAGGGTCAGGGCAGGAAGGTGAGGGGAGTATTCAGAGGTGGGTGCCGATGCCAATCCAGGGGGCACCATGGGAGGGAGTGGGGGGCAAGAGGAGATGGAGACAAAGCAGGAGATGTGCAGAGCCAGATCCAGAGGGACCCCTCAGTCAGTGCCTGAGGGAACAGGAAGCCTAAGGTGGGTTGGGCACAGGAGGGGTGCAGAGGACGGGGTGGTGGGCCGTCTGGCCCCTGCCTGCTTCTGCAGACAGGTCTCAAAGAGCCTAAGTGTCCTGCCGACGAGTTTGGGCCTTATCCCGAGTGTCAGTCAGTGACAGGGACCGGGATGAGTGGCAGAGAAAGGAAACTGGGATTCAGGACTTTGGGAGGAGATGGGGTCGACTGTAAGGTGACCCCTGGAGGGCGGACGGGTATGCAAGGAGGCTGCGGGCCCCTCATCAGTAGGTGGGCCTGCGGCAGGGGCAGTGGTGGGCTGGCGGGCGCAGGCGGCCCCCGAGGCCCCCGTGGCCGGAACAGCGTCTCCTCTGCCCATAGCTAGGGCCCAGGAGGTCCTCCAGGCCATCCGAGGCTACGTGCGCTTCTTCTTCGGCTGCCGGGACTGTGCCAGCCACTTCGAGCAAATGGCCACGACCTCCATGTCCCGGGTGGAGAGTCTGAACAGCGCCGTGCTCTGGCTCTGGTCTAGCCACAACAAGGTCAACGCTCGCCTCGCTGGTAAGGAAGGGCCCCCTCCAAGACCGGAGTCACCACAGAGGGAGAGGGAGGTGGGGGAGGGGGGGGTTGGGGACCTGGACCAGAGGTAGGAGACAAGACACTCATTGTCCCCGAGGTGGCACCCAGTGTTTCACAGTGCACAGAGCCCTTCCACATGCTCTGCCTGTCCTGCTGACGTAGGGCGGTGTCCTTAGACCCATTTTCCTGATGAGGAAGCTGAGGCTTTGACACTCTAGGACTGGGTCTTCCAAGGCCACTGCTCACTCTTTCCCCTGCACCAGGGCCCCTTCCTCGGAACTCTTGGGGCCCCTCTCCCGCCTCCCCTGTTCTGCCTTCTGCCTTTTGGCCCCTTCCTTACTCAGACCAACAGGGAGGAGAGAGCTGGGCTTTTCCATCCACTGGGAGGGTTCTAGCAATGAAATTGTGCTGGAAGAGAAAGACCATGTCCTTCCTAGAAAAAATGGACTGATCCCCATAGCGGGAGGCCTTGTCTTCTGAGGGTCCCCACTTCCAGTGTTTTCTGTCCCCGGCGCACAGGAGTCTGATGTGTCCAATAGGCAGAAGCATCAGACTCCAGGGTGACCAGAAGCGGGCGGGTGGGGAGGGAGCCATCTGTGGTCGGGAGCCTGGGCTTATCTGTGGGGAGAGGGGAGAGCACGTGGCGACAGACCCCCCAGTGGTGGGAGGTTAAAGGAGCCGAATGGAGCAGGTGGTGGCTCTGGCAGCTGGGCTTTCTCTGTCTCCTGGGGCCTCCCGCTGGGCTTTGAAAGGAAGACACGTGCCTGAGTCTCCTCTCACCCCTTCCCTCCCTGCTGCCCCGCCCCCACCACCACATGCTCCGTTTGACCCTCCAGCCTCATGACCTGGGCGGGCTCCCTGCTTCCCCCCCAGGGCCCGGCCGCTGCTGGAGGCTCGATCTGGGGCTTCTCCTGGAGGGGTCCAGAGGAAGGCAGGACCCTGACCTCTGTGGTGGGGTCCTTTCAGATCAAACTAGGAACAGTGCTCACTTGGCAAGGCTGGTCACTACTGCTTCTCATGGGACTTTGGAATTTACTCGATGTCCCCTCCCCAAAATAACCATTCGGACTTTCACATCACTTGCCGCTGCTTCATTCTGGCCAGCACCTTTTTCTGCCCCTGTGAAATCCTTTAGGAGAGGTGCCTCCTCCAAGAGATCTGGGCTGATGGCCGTCCCCGGGCAACCCTGGGCCAGTGCTTCCTGACTCTCCCGAGTGCCCTCTTCCCCATCCAGGCCCCCAGGCGCCCCTACGCCCACCCCTCAGAGCCCACCCGAGCAGGAAATCCCACTGACCCCTACCCCAGAGAGGGCTGCTGTGGCATACGGGAGAACACCTGTGGGATGACCACATGCCACGAACTCTTGTTTTAAAACACATTTTCCCCAAAAAAAACAAAACCAAAAAAATAATAAAACACATTTTCCCTTTAATTACCAAAGTAAGGAAGGGGCAGCAGGGGGCTGTTGTCCACCCCTGGCAGGCTGTGGCGACTGCAGGGTGGGAGGCCTCCGTGGCCAGAGCGGCCCCAGCACTGCTGGTGGGCCCCGCGGGCCCTGTGCTTCTCTCCCACCCGTCACCTCTGAGGGCAGCGGGGAGCCCTTTCTGCAGATGAGGAGGCGAGCACTCTGAGTGAGGAATGGGGTCTGGGCTCCGAGGTGGGCCCAGGGGTCACCGCCAGCCCGTGTGTGCTCCCCTCCGCAGGCGCTGCCAGCGAGGACCCCCACTTCCCCAAGGTGCAGTGGCCGCCCCGCGACCTCTGTGCCTCCTGCCACAACGAGCTTCGGGGCACGCCTGTGTGGGACCTGGACAACACCCTCCGATTCCTCAGGACCCACTTCTCCCCAAGCAACATCGTCCGGGACATGCCTTCCGCTCGGCCGGGCCCCCGGATGCTTGCCCAGAGGATGGCAGCCGGGAATTTTACTCTGGGCCCCAAGAAGGCGGGGATCGAGGTGGGCCCAGGGACCAAGTCCCCCGGAACCGCTGTTCCTGACGTTCCAGCCGAGAGGCTCAGGGCGAGTCACCCCCAGGATGTGCTCATTGGCCCCAGTATGACCCCAGCCGACACAGCAGAGCTTCAGAGGGACGAGGTGGAGCCGCCGAAAGGGCAGCCACACTTGAGCAAGCGGGACACGGGAGCCGTACTGCTGGCTGAGTTCCTGGCGGAGAAGAACCTCCCCAGAGGCCCTGCAGAGCTAAGGCGATTAGGTCGCAGCTCGAAGCAGCTGGCCAGCATCCCTGAGGGGGGGCTGGAGGCTGTGCCCATGCGGGGCCAGGACCAGTGGCTGCAGGTGCTGGGAGGGAACTTCTCCCACCTGGATATCAGCCTCTGTGTGGGGCTCTACTCCCTGTCTTTCATGGGCCTCCTGGCCGTCTACACCTACTTCCGGGCCAGGATGAGGGCGCTGAAGGGCCATGCGGGCCACCCCACAGCCTGAACCGTTCGACTTGGGAGGGGGGCAGGGACGGGAGCTGCCACTCGTGGTGCTCTCCCAGCCCCCTGCCCCTCGCCCCTCTCCCCGTGTTCCTTGTCCCGGGAAATCCAGGGAAACCAGTTGCTCCAGTGAACCTCCTTGGGCCATCTGGGAAGGAATGTTCCATAGACATGAGAGCATGCGTAGGGTTTGTGTTCATCTGACAGCACAGCAGAGGGCAGCCTTGGGCAGAGGGGTTGGGAGGCTCAGTCCCTGGCCTCCCAGCACCAGATTCCTCTCTCTTACCTTATTTGGAGTCCTGCCTGTTCTCGCTGAAGCTTCCGTGTCTCCATCTGGTCTTGGCCCTAAACTGGGGCAAGCAAGGCCATAGATCCCCAGGTTCCCCACCCAGAGGAGGGTTCCCCGGCCTAGTGGGCTAGAGCAGAACTCTTCACTATATTCCAGGGCTCCGTCCATCCTCCTCCCTTCATGATGCAAGGAGGCCTTTGTGCCAGAGAAGGAAGGCCCTCTGTGGCCTGTACATCCTCCAGCCCCTCGTATCTCCAGGGCGGGGTGTGCTTTTGGGTGTGGGGGGGTTGGTCTGGAAGCTTCTGAAAGTCCTGCTGGTCTCCCAGGTGAGACTTGGGGTCAGGGTTGGAGGGAGGAGAGCTGCTGGCTCCTTCCCCAGACCTCTGCTGCTGGAGCTGGTGTGGACTTGGGCGGGTGATGGCCACGGGGCTGGGTGTTGAGCGGCTGGCTAGGCGGGACCTGAGAGGGGCTAGTATGGGATTTAGGGAGAGTTACTGGTGTCTTTAGTGCCTTGGCTCTGGGCCTAGCTGTGAGGGAAGAGGGGAGCCTCAGGGAAAAGACAGTTGCTTCAAATGTGCTTTGGCTCCTCCCTAGTGGACTCTACCCCTTTTGGAGCTGGGTCTTTTGTCTTTTGATTTTGGTCTCCAAAACAGATGCTAATCTTTGAATGTGGAGGGTGCTGGAGTGAGGGGCGTATCCTCTCTTGAGGGTCCACCTCCCATCCTGTAGAGGTTAAAAGGGTCAGAGGGGAGGGTGGCTCTGTACACATGCTTGATTCCCACTCTACCCCACTGCCTGGGAGGGTTGTGGAATAAATTATTTTTGTTAAAGCAAGCCCTGGTGTGTTCTTTAACCTGCTGTTTGGGGACCTCGTGTCCAGAATGCACAGAATCCAGCCTCTGTAGGCATCCAGCCTGATGTGATTGCCCTTGGCTCATGTAGCTCCTGCCCTGCAGGGGACAAGGTGCCCTGGCACCGCCCCTTTCTCCTGGATGGAGTCTTCCTGCGCTGCCCCTTCCATCTCCACGGGCGCCGGGGCACAGAGCTTGGTGGAGGTCTCATGCCGCCGCCTCCTGTTCCCCCAGCCTCCCCTGGAGCCCCTTCCTCTGTGCTTCCAGTTCTGCTCCTGGAACCTTCCTCTGCACCTGCGCAGCCCTCCATAGCTGCGCCTTCTGCATCTCCCGCGCTCTCTCAAGGAAGGAGAGGGTTTGTGAGAGCAGGACTGCACCAGCTCTTCAGCAGGGAGGAGTCAGCCGGATCGGAGAGCCTGCCCCTAATCTGGCCCGCAGGGTTTGCAAGGCTCAGAGCAGCTGGTAATGAACCTCATTAAGGGGGGGCAGGAGCCCCAATCCGATTTGGGGTTTTCTCTTTGACATCTTCACTCTGCTCAGATGGCCTTGGCACTGGGTGGAGCAGGGGGGATGCCAAGCAGGCTCCCTCTGCGAGGGCAGCTGGGATGGGGAGCACAGTCAGGGGTCAGAAGCACCCCCAATCCCTGCTTCTGTCAGCCCTGTGTTACCTCTTTAGCCGGATAGAGTCCAGCCTAGAGCCTCTCTGCAGGCCTGTCGTCTGCCTGCAGGTTCCCTCTCTGAGTCCCTCCTCCATCTGTCCCCTCTGCTCTCCTAAGCCGGCTCTGCCCCTCTCCCCCTGCCCCACTGGGGCCTGGCTGGGAGGCTGACAGGCCAGCACCCAGGACAGGGTGACCCTGGCCTGCAAGAAGGAGAAAGAGGTCCCAGGGCCAGTGCACACTGGGCCAAGACCACCTGGGACCTGACACAATGTCAAGGGCAGAGAGCCCTTCTAGCGCCAGTGAGTCAGGCCCCAGGAGGGCCCCGGCAGTGGGTGTGGGCCTCCTTCTCACAGCCAAGCCTTTCTTGGGCTGTCCCAGCCGCTCTGATTGATAAACAAGGGTGGGCCCCCTCCTTAGCGGGGCTGCTGCCTTTCACCTTGATTTCCCCAGGGCGCGCTCAGCGGCCTCGGCAAACTGGCTTGCCCACCAGCCCGTCCCCTCCCTGCAACCCATCTGCCAGGCTGGGAGCCCAGGCTTCTGCGACTTGAACTCTGCTTGCCGTTCTAGATGGTTCTCTGCATCCTGGGAGAGCCCCCACGCAGGAGAGGGTCCTCAGAGGAGTCCTGCAAAGCAAAGGCTAGTTGTTCTGGGACCGAACAGAGAAATTCCCCGCTCCCTGGGATGCTACCTACTGAGCGTTAAAGAATGATTTCTTTTTTTTTTTTTT